CTGATATTTATATGTACAATGATTTAATATCATATCATACCAGTCTGGCCTTCAGGGTGCCCTTGAGGTGTTTTTCTGATTGTCCTTTATATACACTATACACAAACCAGCCAGAAATCATTCCTCTCCACATGAGCCACTCAGGTAAGAACCATGGTTACCCTTCTCTCTCCAGCAACAGCCTTCTTCACAGACTCCATTTTAAAACAGTGCAAATCCACTGGCCCCCCTTCCCCAACCTATGTCTTCTGTAAGCTTGCCCAGACATGGAGGCCTCATTAGGCCAGGTCTTCCACTCATTCCACTGCTTGCAAAGCAATCATTTATAGGCATTTGGTGTTTTGTCTGACATCTGTTTGATGCTGGAGTTCTAGCCTTTGTCTCAATGAATCACTTGTCAGGGACGGCTGTGGCATTCTAGGTTAGATTTCACACTTTCAGGAAGGATTTGCCTGTGACATAAATGATCTTAGGCTTTTTGAAATGACCAGTTCTACTCCCCACCTCCTGCCCCTCCCCCCAAAAAATCCCAGAGGAAACAGGATAATGAGGGAGACAAGGAAACTAACACTTATTCAAGGCTTATTTTCTTGTGTGTGTGTGCTCTCTGTACCTATGGGCTTGAACCAGCCTTTCCTCTCTGGAGACAGCACTGCCAACTCACCTCCTGTGGTTGGAATGTTACTTGCTACTAGAAAACCCCATGCTGAAGTATCTGTGTATTCTGAGAGCATTAGAAAAAGGGGAAGTTTTTGAAAAAGAAAGGAGGGAGGGAACGAAGGAAGGAAGGAATCAACTCACCACTCCTTGGTAGTTTGAAGAGCATCTTTCTACAACTGTAATTTGATGGCTGTGTCCAATTTGGTCCATTGTTATGAAAATGCTTAGCTATAGCACTGGGGGCCCAAGAGTTAGACTAGGTTATAAACCTGACTGAGCCCAGCAAGGCATTAAATCTAGGAGTTCCTTTCCTTATCCTTCAAACAGAGTCTGATGGTACTTAACCAGTGACTTCACAAGGTATGAGTGGTAAGTGAAGTTGCTTTGAAAACCATAGGCCCCTTACTATTTGCTTGTAAAAAGTGATTATTCATATACAGTGGCCCATAAACATTCTGGTTTCCATTCCAAGGCTTGAGCCGAGCATGAAAGGGAGGGAGCAAGCTAAGACTGAGAACACTGTAGGTGGCCTTTCTAAACAGAACAGAGATGGAATGCAAGGAGAGAGGATAGAGAAGATCTGATGTTTTGTAAGGAACAGAGGACTTTGGAGACACTTTTCTTTGTCCCTTTCAACTCTGCACTGGTGTCACAGAAGGTCACAGTATGAAGCAGTTGTCCCAAACACATGAGTCATCAGAATGGTGAATCTGAATTTCCAGGTCCAACGAAACAGTAGGTAGGACAGGTTTTCATTTAAGGTTTTAATTCAAAGAGAATGGGAGAGGAGAAGGGAAATTGATATTCCATCTGAGGCTTGTATTACAAGGGATCCTTTTCATGTTCCTAAATTAGTACAATGGGGGTGGGGTAGGGTGCCAAAACTTGTTCTCATCTGTCACTTCATGCATCTCAGTTTGAAAACATTCAACCCTGAGATGCAAATCATTTAATCATGCTGACTCAGGGGTGCTCACAAGTTGTGGATCCTCTGGAGCCAGGAATTCCCAGCCTGATGTGGTAATGTATTTCACAGTATGAACTTCAGATCTAGTGAACCCAGGCTGAGGGGGAGGACCAGGGAGGAATCTATATTCTCCTAAAGTTTCTGCAAACAGAGACAGATCCTCCCTTTCCAAATGCAGTGAGAATGAGGGATCCCAAAGGGTAACTCCCACTTCCTTCCCCCACACACATAACTTTTCCTTTCTGTTTGTGCCATTAGGTCAGAAGGTTAATGACAATGTACTCTAAAATTATCAAGAGGATGAAGCTAGGCACAATTATTAGATTTCCATTCAAGCCTGAATATGCAATCTGAACATGAAGAAAACCACATTTACTTCATAATCTTACAATTCTGTCCACATTTACTTGTATAGGATAGCAAGCCTTGGGAACCAGGGTAGAAAGCAGGTTGGATCCCAGTTTTAGAAGGAGGTGTTGCAAGCTCTGTATGTAGTCATACAATAAGTGTAAGGATAACCATGCATTTGGGACCAAACATAGGCTGGGGTTTGAATTTTTCATCTTCCATTAGGCATTTTTTTTTCTTTTTCTCTCTCTTTTTCCATCCACCTATCATGTTAGTTTTCTTCTCACTTTTTTTTTCTTTTTACTTTTCTAGAGTATTGCCATCCTTAAGGCTAGACCTTTAAATACATAGTATTTCCTCTTGAGTCAGTAAAATATATTTACTTATTTCCTAAGGGCATCACCATTAAAGGAAGTAACTCATTGCACCAAACTCTCTCACTCTTAGAAAGTTGTTTTTACAGCAAATATGAAGTGATGCTTTGAAGGATGTCACTTTACATTAACATCTGACTCTGCACATTCTGAAGGAATGGCTCCAATGAAAGTTGACTGCAAGCTAAAGACAAACCAACTAGAAAAGACACTTTTTTTTTTTTTTCTTCCTAAGGTTTTCACTATGGCTTCAAAGGAAATGCAAATTAATCACTTGTTTTGACCTAAGAGCAGCAGAACTTATTTTGAAGACTTAAATAGGCAACATAGATATAAACAGAAATCTGGGACTCCTAAATGCTAATGCTGAAATGAGTCACTCTGAGAACATCAATTCTACTCAGCGTTTATTTTCATTTGAAGATAGTGGAAATCATATATAAATCACGGACAATATGAGTTCTTCTTGCCAGGCAATTGTCCACATGAGTGTGTTAATCTCTAAGTACAGATACAGTACACCCAGTCCTCACTTACTGACATGGTTAGGTTCCAAAGACCAGGTCAAAAATCAGCATGATGGGAAAACAAAAGATGACCATAGCAGATCACAAAATGGAGGATGACTACATCATTACAAAACTGCCAAATTATATCATTACATAATTGCTAAATTATATCATTATATAACTGCCAAATTACTGGCAGTCCCCAAGGTATGAAAGACATCCTTTCCTCACTATGTCTTTAAGAATTTGTAGGTAATTTGGAACAGGTGAATACAGTTCTTATTGAGCCTTATGTTAGTCCAAGAGGGAGTGCTGGTGGCACAGTGGTTAAAGTGCTTGGGTGCTAACTGAAAGGTTGATTTGAACCCATCAGTCACTCTGTGGGAGAAATATGTGGCAGTCTGCTTCTGTAAAGACTTACGGCCTTGGAAACCCCATGGGGCAGTTCTACCTTGTCTTATAGGGTTGCTATGAGTCAGAATTGACGTGATGGCAAGTGGGTTAGTGCAAAAAAAGGCTAGAAGCCATTTTAGTGATTTAAAAACTGAATGTGCAGCAAGGGAAAGTGATTGTGATGAAGAATTTGTTTTGAGTAAGAGTTGATTTAATCCTTTGAAAGTAAGAACGAGTTTCTGTAACATTAAAGGGCAAGTAAGTGTTGTCTGTAAGTCAGACTTCATACCTGGGGACTGCCTGTACATAATTGCCAAATTACATCATTACAGAACTGCCAAACCACTGAGAATCATGGCACAGTCAAGCTGACACATAATTTTAACTATCATAGTCAGCATTATTCTTACCTTCCACCTCAGCATTTGTTACTGCCAGACATACCTGTTAATGTGGAAAATAGTTTGATAGTAGACTTTTTTTTACTGTTGTCTTAAGTATGAAATGTTGGATGATGACATAGTCGGTAAGTGAGGAGTAGGTGTATTTTTTTTAATAGAAAGAGAGGGCAATATGGCAGTTAATTAGCAACCAATACTGTAAACTACAGTAGATACAAAGTTTTGTCATATAAATTAATTGCCATTACAAAAAGGCAATTGCTTTAGCTAAGAAGGTACAAAAACTGGTAACTTCCATAAATATAACAAGAAGCTAAGTTAAGAAATACATAACAGACAGTTTTTCCTATATAATATTTGAATATGCAAGCTAAGACACCTGTGGCACTTTATGCAAAAACAGGAATATGACACACACACATCCCCACCCACACACCCATCCAGGCCTCCCTCCCCACCGTGGATTTCCCAAACGTGGTAAATTCTAGAATTACAAGCACAGGATGTGGCGAGGAAGCAGCAAGCCGGTGAGCTTCGAACTGCTAGACAAAGAAGGAGCCTCACTGACAGTTGTAAAGCATTAGGCGTCAGACAGAAACTTGTCAAAAACAGCTGTTGTTGGGTACTGATTGATAATGTTTTCATTCTGACGGCTGAGACACTGCAGACAGTCGTGGGTCTGAGAAGAAGCCCATCCCTGGCGCACACATGAACACACACACACACAGACAACGGGAAGTCATTTAACAGATGGCTTGGAGTACTCAGCCACGGTATCTTAAAAAGACAAGATTCTACATTTAATGAACTTGCAGGCGAAGCAATGCCTAGTAATCACTGATTTTTCATAGATGATGAACACTACAGGAGAAAATAAAAGCAGGGGTCGGGTAACTGGTCACTGGAATAAAACTTTTGTGCTGCTCACGGGTTACACAGTATTAAAAATATTCAAGGACACTGTAGACAAACTTGTATGTGAATCACTATGGATCTTTTTGATCCATTCCACTTTTTAAAAAGCTTAAAGAAGGGTTCAGTATTTCAAAGGTAAGATTTCATTAAAACCCACCTATGAGATTAAACCACAAAAACTATACTGGAAGGACATTACGGGTCTGCCACAAATCTTCTGTAGAATTACAAGGGATTACCTCACCCTGTAATGCAGTATTTGAGCATCAGTCTCTGCTACCTAAAAATTACAAACATGTTTTTATTGCTCAGGTGTCTGGAGCAGTTGTATATCATTTGGCTACTTAATGTTTCATGTGGTTAAACATCCACAAGATATGCCGAAGAGTATTTTATCCATGAACTTCAATATTCATGGCTTATTCCTGATTTAGAAAATGTCAAGGCCTCAACTCTTAGTAAAACTGTACATTTATCTCTATGTAATTTTATCATTTAAATTAAATGAAAAAATATTAGCTCCAAACACTGAATCTGGGCCCTAAAATTATTTATTCATTGCAGTCCCCTAGCTCATTTTTAAGGGTACATTGAAACCCCTGAAAATAGAGGTTTGTAATAGAAATACTGATAGACCTTTAATTGCTAGATGGAGGCACTCACAGACTCCATTAAACTACATTAGCACTTAATGAATAAATATACAGAGGATATTCTGTCTTTGACGTCTTTGTCACAATCCATGCCAGTTCAAGCCCTATTCCAGTTTAAAGTATACTTAGTTTGGCTATTTCAAATTTTTTTTCCCATGATTTTAAAATTATTTTCTCTGTTTCAATCAAACACAGGATTTTTAGCAAAAGGTACCTATATTATATTGCAGCCTGACTTTAGGCAGGGTAATCTTTCCATTACAAACTACTTGAGGCCTTGATCAAACACTAATCAGTGGTGCACATGTTGTGCCTATATTTCCTCTAACCCTTCTCAAAAAACAAAAGCAATGTCTTTGCTGTTAAAAGGGGAATGAGACTCTTCAGACACAATAAGGGAACATTATGTCTTGTCACTAAATTCTTCAAAGTGAATCCTATTAGGATAGGATATTCTTTCCTGATAAGAATTCTTTGCTGCTCATTTCTGTCTCATAGTCTATAAGGTGAGGATACAAAAAACTAAAAGCTAAAATAAAATAACACCCCCCTAAGAGATCTTGAGGAGGATACACATACTTTGGGACGCTCCAGTCACAGGACGCCCCACCCCCGAGCCCAGGGACAATTAGTCAAGGTCTTGTGAGTCTTTTGGAGTCCTTCATAAGGGATTTGATTTCCGTGAGCCATGGATTCCATCCATTTTAGCACAGAGTATATAAGAGATGCTTAGAACAACAGAAGGAAAAGACATGCGGTGAAGATAATTAGTGGTAAACAGAGAATAAATTCTCTCTCAGTAGTGTGTACTTGATGGTAATGCCGATGATAATTCACCTGATTTACAGAATATTCACTTTAATAGAGAGATGAGAGTCTGCGTTAACTAGAGAAAAATAGAAAATGAAGCCATTAGAGTCTTGATACCAAAATAAAATTAAAAATGAGAAACTAACACGATAGGCTCAAGGCCTTTTGGGAACCCGTTTTCTTTGCCAGATTTCACATTCTGACAGCTTCGTGGTCTTTTTCTTCTAACAAATTTATCAGCTGAGAGAAGCTGTCTTTCAGTGTGTCCATGTCGTCCAGAGAGCAGGGCTGCAGAATCCAGCGTTTTCCACGTGCAAGTGGTTCAAGTTCAAAATATTTTTTGACCTTCAGGAAATGAAAAAAAAAAAAAAAGATAAATATGTTATTAATTATATCAGAACTATTCTCATACCAAAATTTTGAGAGTGATGAAGTGGAGGATTTCATGGAGAATTTATATGAACCACGAGGCCTAAGACTTTCTAGAATCTTATGCACAGCTGTTGTTATAATGTGGGTTACATGTTGTGACCTAGGAGTGTTTTCTTTAGGGGTGAATGACCCACTAGCAAGCACCATTCTACTCATACACTTAACAGCATGGGAGGTCTGATGCATGCTAAGAAACAATTACATGCACTTACGGAACAGGGCAAAGCACACTGTAGAAACCAGAAAGATTCAATTCCATCAAGATACCTCTAGCAGAACAGCTTTTGATACATTATCCTGCTGAGTTAGTAACACCAACAGTATGTATGCTTTCAATTGCTCAAGACTCAACTTTTTTTTTTTTTAATTGTGATTTGGGTGAAAGTTTACAGAGAAAATTCATTTTCCATATAGCAGTTCACAAGCACTTTGTCTCATGACATTGTCTGCAGTTTCCCACAATGCAACAGCTCCCCTCCCACTTCCTCCCCATAGCTACTCTTCCCTGTGTTCTTCCTTCCTCTGTACTCCTGGCCCCCGAGGTGTCTCACTGTGCATATACAGCCCTTCTATTCTCCCATGATCGATCTCTCCAAGGAGTGTATCTACCTAGTGTAATGTTCAGCTCATATGCCTGTCTTTTGTTTGGCTGGAAGCCACAGCAGTGGGTTAATTCCAGACCTGACAGGCAGCTAAGGGGTCATAGTCTCAGGGGTTCCACCAGGCTCTTGCAGACCAGCAAATCTGGTGATTTTTAAAAAATTTTTCATGGTTTTGAGTTTTATTCCATATTGTTCTCCTGCTCTATCCAGGATCTCTTACATAGATCCCCCTCCAAGTGGTTGACAGTGGTAGCCGGGCACCATCTAGTTCTTCTGGTCTCATAGTTATATAGGCTGAGGATCGCATGGTCTACCGGTTCCTTGGACTAATTGTTTCCATGTGTCTTTGGTTTTCTTAATTTTCCTTTGCTCTGGATGAGGAGAGACCCATCATTGCATCTAGATGGCTGCTTGCAAGCTTTTAAGATCCCAGTCGCTACTCACCAAAGTAGGATGTGAAACAATGTTTTTGTGTAGTATTTTATGCCAATTGAGCTTGATGTCCCTTGTGACCATGGTCCCGAGCCCACAGGTCCAACTACTCGCTCCCTTCGAGTAGCTGGCTATAGTCAAGAAGTGACTACAACCTTGTCCCTTGTGAGCTCTACTGTATACCTGGAAATTCTTACAAAACATACAAAGAGACTCAACTATTTTGACCATCAAGCACATGATAATAACACAACCAAAAATCTCACTTAAACATTTTTTTCTTCCTCCCTTAAATTTCTAGTATCTACTTCTGAGACCTGGGAAAGAGAGTAGAAGCTAAGTATATGTGTGAATATACACATAGAAACTTCTCTAAATATACATACATATACAAATCTTCCTAGCTTCTTTTCTCCTTCCAGTCCTGAAATTTTAGGGAGGGAAAAAAAGATCAAAACCTTACAACTGGTATGTGTGGTGGAGTATTTGCTACCTTAACAATCTGTTTGCAGAAGAGTGAACCCCAATGTAAACTGTAGATTTCAGTTAATAGTAATGTGCCAATATTGATTCATCAATTGTAACAAATGTACTATGCTAATTAAAAATGTTAATAGGAGGGGAAACTTGGGAGGGTAGTAACAGGAGAATTCTTTACTTTCTGCTCCATTTTTTCTGCAAGCCTAAAAAAAGTCTTTTTTTCTTAAAAACAAAAACAAAAACATGTTTGATTAATGACAAATTACAGGTCATTCGATGTATTGGCTAGTATTATCAACACTTGACTGCTAATATATATCAAATTGTTATGACTTCCAGAAGTATCGGTGACCTTTTCCAAAGGGCAGATAAAATACTAAGTTCATGAAAATGCTTCACTTCACACACTACTTCTCACAAGAATAGAACATTGTATTTATAGCCCAGCAAGGTTTTACATAACATAAAATAAATAGTCAGTAGCAACATCAGAAGAAGCATTGCTCAAAGACATTCTTGGTCAACACATTGCCTTAAATCCCATGTGCCATGGAAAAATTCCAAGGTCTTACCTGAGTCAATACTCAATCCAGAAAAAACAAGTGTCTGAGCCACATGCCATTCCCAAATGTGGTTTTATTTTGCATTTATCATTATAAGCACCAGATATTGTTAACATTAGAGATACACCATCTAAAATGGCTTTTAGGCGTTTCCATATTTTATTTTCATGTGAACAAGAAGATATATGTAGCAAATACTAAGTTTCTAAGCTAATTTAAGAACCACAAATACGCTAACATTTTAAAATTCAATTATGTCCAGAGAGTTCTCCTGTGGATGTCTGCAATTTCAAAATAAACACTAATTCAACAAAACAAAATCAGTAGCCTGTGAGAACTGAGACCCTCATTGATTTTGATTCTGAAATGTAGTGAAAATCTTATGTACAGATCAGAAAATGAGGACTCACCTTTAGAACAGCTTTTGCTCAAGGTATTTTAACAAATGATGTTGTTAAGAGGATTCTGACTTACGGAAAAAATATAAACCCCATTTCTTTGGTTTCTGTTCTGTAGGGCACTCCAAACAATTTAGATTCAGAGAACCTGAAATTGCTTGTACAAGGACCAGGAGCAGTGGGCCAGCCCTGCTCTGCCCAAAAAGGAGCTGCCAGTCAACAGAATAAGGAAAGATGCTGGCCAGCAGGGGGAGAGAAGAGTAGGCAGGAGCGGCAGGTGGGGAACAATGTTTAGTCTACAGCAAGAAGTAGGAGTTGCTGCTGCAATAAGTTGACAATCAGAGATGTTAGTAGTCTCCTTGCTTCTTCTACAAACTGAGGTTTCAGCTGGCACCAATAAGTGTGCAGAAATGGGGAACCCCATGCTTTAATACAGTATTTGATCAACAATGCCTCCCATCCCAACAGGGACAGCATGTGGCATCCAAAGTCTGGCACAAGAAGGAAACATTCATATCCCCAAATCCAAAAGGAGACCATTTTAAGTACTGCTTAAACCGGGAAGAGGGCCAGTGGCAAGTAATGAAATAATATTAAAATAAAGAAGAACATGAAAACAGTAAGGTTATCTCACTAACAATACTTCCTCCAAATGGCCCATTTAAAAAAATGACACTGAGCTGATCTTAGTAGCGTATTTGCAGCTAATTTGAAAGCAGTATTAGATTTGGATAAGCACAAAACATAGGTAATTTGTGATATTTTGCAATACTGACCAGACACAAAAAACAGGGAGGTTCAGCTACCCATTAAATACTGGTTTCTAGGCAACTGAAAATATAGTCTATCATGCAGGCACACTTGGAAGATAATAAAGATGTCTGATGGTAGCTATGTTTCCATAGTTGCTCCCGCTGAATATTAAGCATGAGAAGGAAATGGAAGCTGCAATTTCAGGGTGGTCACAGATAAAGGAACTGATGGTGTTAAGCTGACAAATATGGCTGGGTAACTTGAGATTTTCAGATCTGTAACCTAAGTGAGCATCCAACCCTGCCATATCTACCCTACCGGAATCCAAATGATTCCACGCCACTCGATATTTATAATATCAATTTTGAAACAAGTTTTGGCATTACAGTGATATCCGAGTACAATGAGTGGCTGTATCTGTCTTCAGAACATAGCTTCTCATTACTCAGGGTTTCCTGTTTCTACAAACAAAGACTACAGGCAAGGGAGGGGAAGATGGAGACTTAATGTACTCTGACTCCAACTTTTAATTTTTAATAAAATTTCATTTTGTTTTCTTATATTAACCTGAACTTTAAATTTTACCTCACCTGTATTATAATACAATTTATTCAGAATCGTATTTTAACTTCTACCATGGCTATTGTGTCCTGCTATCTATGGTAGCATAGTGCCTAAGGCACTTGACTGCCAACCAGAAGGCTGGCGGTTCAAACCCACCAGCCACTCCTTGGAAGGAAGGTTGGGCAATCTACTTCCGTAGTGATACTGCTTCAGCAACCCAAGGAAGGGTCGCTATGAGTCAGGTCTGACTTGACTGACGGCACGTAACAACAACAACGACAACAACATCTATATGGTAACATATAACTTTAAAGAATTCTGTTAAATTTGACCAACATAAAGCAACTGCTTACATCTGATACTAAGTTTAAGAAAAAAAACAAAAAACAAAACAAAACCTACCTGTGATACAAAGATACTTTTTTATGTTGGGCTTTTTTTTTTTTTTTTTCCCAAAGCTCATTCTCTTATCAAGACAAAAATTAAAAAAAAAAAAAAAAAAAAAATTAAGAGAAAATGAACCTAAGTCTTTTGACTACTTTATCAGCTGCTTAACTGTCATGGTTAATTGGAAAAAGCTAAAATAAGGAGATGGTGACTGTTTCACACTGGCTTCTGGAAATGGCACTTGGGGCAATGACATCAGAATACAGCTGCCTGGCAACTTGTGGTCATTTAGCTATTTTCAGGAATGCCACAGAGAGTGGGCATTTGCTAGTAGCCATGTGTCCACCCTAGAGATAGGAAAACAAAGCCACCATAAGTAGCCAATCTATTTTAGCTATGTCATGAGTCCTTCACTCATGCAACTGTGAGTGATTTGTGTTTCTGCATTCTATTATTTACACATTGCATTGAATGTAACATCCTAATACAACAGAGAAAGATCAGAACCATCTCATTGCAACTACTGTTCGTAGCAGCTGTTAGACCTGTGAGATTACATAGCAGAGGTAGACCCACTCACTGTTAGGAGATGTCCTTAATGTTACCTTGAGTAGAGAAATAATGAAAATAATCCCTTCCTAGTTACAGGATCGCTGATATGGGTGCAATGACACTCATAGATTTCCAGTCTCACCCTCACATCAGTTCAAAAGTTATTTTCAGTTCCTACAATT